CTAAAAGCCCCGAATTTAATTTTGCAATTAAATTAAAAGCATTAGTTCCATTTCATCTTCAAGCGAATTTTGGAGTAACTTTTAAAAAATTACTGGGTTTTAAAGACACAGCTAAAATCACGTTTCCATGGTTACAGAATATTCTACTTCAATTGGACAAGGGATGTCTAGGTTTTCCTTATGTCAGTATCATTGTATCAGTTATTAGCTACAATTTGGTAAGGGGTAGGGATGTATTTTTCAATGAAAACTGACATCCGTTGAATGCATGTCGTCTGGATTTTTTAAAAAAAATTATTGTTAACGGTAAAAAAATTCTTACGGCATTCTTTTTCCATTTATAAATTTAAAGATTTTCGGGGGTGTTCAGATCATAATACTTTTTATTTAACTACGATTTGAAATATTCTCATATATATATATATATATGGGATAAATAAAAAATATATATGTGTGTGTGTGTGTGTGTGTGTGTGTGCAGGGTTCAATGGAAAAATTTTCGCCATTTTATATTTTTTGATTTAGCGCATGCGTGTTGTCTCTTTTTGATTTTGGCGACTGAACCGTATAGTAGGGTCAGCTGGGCACAATCTATTACAAAAAGAGCACCATGACGCAATTCACTCTGCCAAAAAATTTGAAAATGGGATTCTGTAGTCCTTGGCATACACGCCGGAAGCTCCAATACGAACATTTCAATTTGTTTGGGTGTCAATCTGAGGAGAGTGCAGAGGTTTCGAAAAAGAGTTGGATGAGTCTAATGCTGATTACGAAGGTACGACAGCTGGGAAAATTCACTCTAAGAAATGAACTCCCGTATTTGCTGGTGAGGGCCTCAAACTTAACACGGAGGCCTGCATAAAGTTCCTTGAGGAAGTAGTAGTGCTCCGGGTCAAGAGGGTGGCTGCTGGAAGATCCTATATCTGGCAACAGGACTCTGTTCTATGCCACACAAGAAGGAGAAACCAGTCATGGCTGTCAGGCAATTTCCGCGACCACACTACTCGCTACTTCTGGCCACCTAACTGCCTAAACCGCAGCCCCCTTGATTATGTGTGGGGCGCAGTTGAGACCAACAAAATTCCTTGTAACACCACAAAGATGAACTAAAGGCAATGATTATGGTAGAATTCAACAACTTAAACAAGAAGAGTTAAAGGTGAGTCATCTGGAGGCTATGATTGAAGACAATTGAATAAATTTACTCTTTAGTATTTCAAGATATTTTTGTGTGATTTTGGTAAATATATCTGGTAAAATGAGATGTCAGCGTCATTTTAATTTTTGCCTAATTTAGACACCAATTTATAATCCATAATATATATATATATATATATATATATATATATATATATATATATATACATGTGTGTGTGTGTGTGTGTTTGTGTGTGTGTGTGTAAGTATTTTTTGTTTGTGTGTAACATATCAGGTATTGAAGCCATTTTAATCCGGACATAATTACTCTTGGCTGAGCAGTTCATCTCGTCAGGATGGAATACTTTCGCTCGTTTAAGCAGGTTCTTTTATTTTTGGTCAACTGGCTGTTGTGGAGCGTTGAGTTGGTTCCTTTCTTCGCCATTTTAAGGACAAACTCGGAGACAACTTGAAAAGGTGCGTAATACCTGTAGATACCTGAGAGCATAAGGCTACAAATGACCAATGAAATGGAGGACAGCATCTTTAAAGAAGGTCAACATTTTTGAAAGAACAAGAACTCTACGATTAACTTAAAATTTAACAATAAAAAGACCAAAAGATTCAAGACGGAAATCAGAATATATCGCATGTAACAGCAAAATTGTCCAAATAGTGTAACAGCAAAATTGTCCAAATCGTGTAACAGCAAAATTGTCCAAATATAACAGCAAAATTGTCCAAATTAACAGCAAAATTGTCCAAATGTAACAGCAAAATTGTCCAAACAACAAAATTGTCCAAATCGTGTAACAGCAAAATTGTCCAAATAGTGTAACAGCAAAATTGTCCAAATCGTGTAACAGCATAATTGTCCAAATCGTGTAACAGCATAATTGTCCAAATAGTGTAACAGCAAAATTGTCCAAATCGTGTAACAGCATAATTGTCCAAATCGTGTAACAGCATAATTGTCCAAATAGTGTAACTGTAACAGCATAATTGTCCAAATCGTTTAACTGCAAAATTGTCCAAATCGTGCAACAGCAAAATTGTTCAACTCGCGTAACAGCATAATTGTACAAATCGTGTAACAGCAAAATCGTACAAATCGTGTCACAGCAAAATTGTCCAAATTGTGTAACAGCAAAATTGTTCAAATTGTGTAACAGCAAAATAGTCCAAATTGTGTAACAGCATAATTGTCCAAATCGTGTAACTGTATAATTGTTCATCCCACAAAATATTTTATATATAAAAGCCAATAAATGAATTGAGTTTCTTTTTCCATATTTTCAGATAATACATTTAGCCATCTTGACACCATTTGTCATAAGAATCACTGAAAAAAAAAATGAAAACAGCTAAAAAGGGAACAGGTTAAAATCGTTTAGTGTCAGTCCCATTATGTCGTCCAATGGTGAGATAAAAAAAGATCATTCAGGCCTTCAGTAATGGAACCAACATTCATACTCTGGCTTCCATCTTCAAAGTCCATTCAAGAACCATCAAGAGAATGGCGAATAAGTTTTAAACCGAGGGAACAGTAGAGAGAAAAACTGGACCAGGCGGTCACAACAGGTAAGTGGGATCATCATTTCAATTTGCAGCTAAAGAGATCAATCAGACAAGACCCAAATCAACCCATATGATGTTTGTCACGTGAGAGGGGAGTTTCACTTATGGCAGTCCAAACAGCAGTGAAAAAAGACTTGAAAATAAAATCGTACGTAAAATGTGTCACGCACATTGTTACTCTAGGATAGAAAATTAAAAAGTTAGAGAGAGCAAAGGTCATCTTGAATAAATTGGAAAATAATCCGGGATATGAACTTAGTTTCAATTATTCATGATCTATCGATCCTTAGATATGATTAATTAATGAGGAACATGTCATTTTCGTTTATGATCGATTTCATCACAATTCTTCTGTTCTGCTTGAAAACCCCGGAGGAATCCAGTAAAATATCATGCATCATTTCTAAGAAACAACGGTCCAAAATTAATCTAATAAACGGACAATGTTCCTTTTTAGACAATTTTACTGTTACATCACGTTTTTTTTTTTTTTTTTTTACTGAACCCTCGTCTGTCGTTTTCATCGGGAGAATCCATTCACTATATATATATATATATATATATATATATATATATATATATAGAGAGAGAGAGAGAGAGAGGGAGAGAGAGATCGAAAAAAATTATTGTACAAGTTTTAAGAAAATAATCATTTTTATTATTACTACTAACTTAAGTATTTTTGTTGTATTTTTTATCCATTCCCTCCAAGTAATAAGATAATGCCATTAAAAGGCAAGGGGCAAACTGAAACGGAAGGACAAGACTTTAGAATTAACCGGAAACTCACTCCCTAAACAGGAAACAAAAATGATAAACCTCTATTCTTTGTCCTTTTATATATATTTATATTTATATATATATATATATATATATATATATATATATATATGTGTGTGTGTATGTGTGTGTGTGTGTGTGTATGTATTTATATCTATATCTATCTATCTATCTATCTATCTATATATATATATATATATATATATATATATATAACACAACGTAAATAAAGTAATAAGAATTAGCATCTTGAAGTGGAAATCTCCCAAATGTGGCACATGAGGACATCAATAATTTCAATTGTCATTGAAGCCCTCAGATTGATTGGAAAAGGTTCCGATGGACTCATTGAAGGGATTCTTGGTAATGTTTTTTTTTTGACAATAATGATCAATGGAAAATGTCATGCAGTCATTTCCGTCCTTAGGTCTCTGGTTGGAATCAGGAAATAATGTTTATACAAAAGAAATCAAAGGAAAGAATAATAGTAATAATAATGCCACCTATCAATATCAAGGCAGACAAAATTGGTGCCAATAAAGTGACCGATAGTAATAATCTAGATCAATAACCATTCAGTCAGAAGTAATGTATGTTCATTATACTTATCGGAGGTCGACTTGGAGGGCTGTGATTTCTCATACGTCAGGACACAAATAATATTTTTATCTTATCTGACAAGTGAGAAAATACGAAGCTCTGAGTCGACCTACGATAAGTATTATAAATTTATATTACTTCTGATACGATGTAAGGTATAGAGAGTACAGCATAAATACCGCCCACATAGTGATTTTCTAAGCCCGGCTTAGATGTGGCACAAGGCCGAAAGTATGGGGCACCCAGTGAGGATCGAACTCGCTACTCAGTCGTAATTGATCTAGCAAGACAAGCTTTCTAACCATTACACCACGTCGAGGTGCCCTAAATACCGCCCAGATATACCGCCCTAAGTAATGGTAAGACATTAGCTAGATGAAGACACCATTGCCACTAATGTCTTACTTTTCTGTGGGAGGTATTTAGGGTTTGTTTTTTTTTGTTGGTGGTATTTCTGCCACTCCCCGTATACGGGGAAACAAAAAAAAAGTTTGCATGTCCTTTAATTTGATTAGCTGACACAACACAGAGATAAACGCGCAAATACTTTTGGCACATTCCGAAAATATCGATGAAGCTGTTCTTGACTGAATTCGAAGTATTGATTAACGGCTTACGGTGATCAGAGGAAACGGTACACCGTGACCGAAAACTTACAACGTCTATGTGAACTTTGAATGATCATTGAGGATCTAATAGGGACTTGCAAAGGTTCTTCACAATGGCGAAGACAAAGGAACTCTTTAAGGAATTTCGTTGGTTGATGATTGACCATAAGAGTCATGGCAGGGGATATAGTATTCGTCTCAAAGTGATCAAGAGGATAGCGGAATTGCTTGAAACAATGCGAATTTGCTTAACAGTATGATTTAATGAACTCGGTATTAACCCAAATTCTCTCCACAATGCGAGACGTGGCATAAGACCAGTTTTTAACGTGGGCAACGCCGAGCGCGTACTCTCGGTCAAAAATTCCCCGAAGACACCGCATACATGAGGTCAGATAGCTGTCACCTCTACAGACGAGACTCTGTCCGTAGGCATAGCCTCGTCTGAGCTGCACTCCGCCTGAAGGCAACCAAACTTCCCACAAGGCAGGATGTGGCATACGGCTGATTTTTATCTGGGGCAATTCTGAGTAGACTTAGGTAAAAATTCCCCGTAGACCTTACATACACCAGGTCAGATACCTGTCACCTCCATAGACGAGACTCTGCTCGAGGGCATAGCCTCGACTTTCCACTCCGCCTGAAGGCAGAGAGTTCGGCTAGCGGTGGTTTAACGAGCTTGTATTTAACAAACTGCCACAAGGCAGGATGTGGCACAAGGCCGATTTTTATGTGGGGCAATTCTGAGTAGGCTCGGGAAAAAATTCCCCGTAGGCCCTGCATGCACGACGTTGGCTTTGTCTACCTACCCAAACGAGACTGTCTGTAGGCATAGCCTCGTCTGAGTTCCTCTCCGCCTGCAGGCAGGCAGTTCGGCTAGCAGAGCTTTAAAGAACTATGTATAGAAACAGAGTTATCCTGAATATAGGTCTTCAGGATAGATCCATTAATTGTGGAAATGGTTCTTACCACATTCTCTCCTTACAGAGGAAGAAGTCCTTGAATCGATCAGGCAACCTTTGCTGTCTGCGAGTCTGTCACAGATTGTCAGGAGCATGACGAGATTCTTCCTCTTTCTGGCTAGAACTGGATTTAATCTGCTGCGTTTTCGTAATCTCTTCGAATGGCTTGATCGTCCCCTGAAGTATCGGTAGGTGGGTGGGCCATCTTCTGTGAAACCCGTTCTTCACTCGAGGGGGCAGAGCTTAAGAGTTCCTAGGAATCTTCAAAAGGATACCATGTTTCCTCTTCTTCGAAGTCAGTTGAAGTGTTATCAGGATAGCCCTCGCTTAGGTTTGTGGGTCCTGATTCATCCTCTGCTGGAACGAAGTTTCTTAGTGAGACTGTGTCTTCCTGTCCATCAGAGTAACGGACATGTGCATACTGGGGGGGGGGTTGGCGTCTAGTGGTTCCTTCTTATTCAGTCGCGTGTATCTTTTTAGTAATATTACGCTCGGCTTCGAGAGCCAAGATGTTAGGGACGCTCCAGTCGAACTTCTAGGAAACGGGAGGAATCATTAATGTGAGGTTACATGATAGGTTTCGAATTGCATGCAGGGCACATGGGAGTAATTGTTCCCAATTCTCCAAAGCTACTCCTTCATTAGCAGGTGCTAGTTAAACCATTTTCGAAATTATTCTATTATACCTCTCGCACTGGCCGTTACTCTGAGGGTTATACTGAGTTCAGTATTTACATTAGTCGGACTATTGACCTCATCTTTGTCGCCATATTTGTCACAACGTTTCGGCCGTTGTACGCTCCGGCCTTCTTCAGGTGGTTGGAATTTCGAACTGAACCCTTTATTTCGATCACTGGGGTAGACAGTTCTAGTTCCACGTGCCATGTTTGATGGATGTCAGTTATCAGTTATCTCCTGCTAATTTTCCCTCTGAAAGTTCTCCACTGCCTTAACCAGGAATTGAACTCACCTTCTTTGGGTCTGTCACTGGATCTAACCAACGCCTTTATCCACTGTGCCATGTGTCATTGAGGACATCTGAGTATGAACTTCTGAGTATTATAAACCTAATGTTTTTCAGCATCATTTTTACCAGTGCTCATATTGCAATTTTGCTGTTATCATTGCATGTCTTTACCAGAGTTCATATTGCAACTTTGTTATCATTGCTTTTCTCTGGCACTCCTTATTACTGGTTCCCATATTGTATTTATTTTTTATGCTTGGTCGGCTCAGGAGATTTTTGTGGCCTAGCATATGTGCTGATTCCTTTAAGTTTACGAATTTTCCAATGGTGTTCCCTGTCTATGATCTCAACATGATCTCACAGGGGCAGTGATCTCCCCTCTCTCCATATGTGGTCAGCCACGCCTGATTTTTTCTACTTCCCTCGCGTTACAGCTTTCTGCGTTCTTGGAGCCTTACCTTGAGGGGGGCAGCCTGTCTCTCCTTTATATTCCTTTCCGCAGCTGCACGGGATAGCGTACACACAGTCTTTAGTCATGTTCCTCTCTGAGGAACATACTGAGTTGTTCTACTTATGCCAACTCTTTGCTCGTGTTGGAATCGTCGTACGCGTTCGGACATAAATGAAGCTCCTCTATCCAAATGAATATACGCGGGTAGCCCGAAGACGGCAAAAACTAACTTGTATGACCGCTGTAGAGAATGCATTGTGGCAGGTTACCGCGAAAGGAAGTCACGAATATTCGCCAATAACTGTCCGTATATATTTGTGTTATGGTCCGGTTCCTTGTACCACGGTGATAGTCCAAGGAAGAACCAATAAAGAAGAACTCGAATACGGATATGGAATAACACAGATATATTACAAACAGGAATATATACAGAGAGGTAGAAAGTGTTAGTACGAACAATCAGGTTTAGTAATAATTGTCTGAACGCGACTCTGTTTCGGACTGCCTCTGACTCGACTGACTGACTGACTCTTGACGGACTTCACTCCAGACTTCCGACTGAACGATAGGCGGAAAGGAATCCAGATGAGTCTATGCCGAAAAGCTCGTCTGAGAAGGTTGACAACTATCCGACCCAAATGTATGCGGGGTGCTCGATTTTGACCGAACGTACGCGCTGAACGATAGTTCATCAAACCCAGTTTGCCAATACTTTGCTTGTTGGCCCGTCTGCCTTCGGGCGGAAGGAACCGTGAAAACAATCATGGGCATAGGGCGACTCTTTGATGTGATCTGTTCACCAAGAGTCCGGTCTGGGCCATGCTCAGTTCGGCGCCTATTTGGCCGCGACTGGGTACGATGGTCCTCTCACGGAAGTCTGAGATCTGGAAGCGCTGAAGCTGGGCGTGACAAATCACGGGATTTTAGACTGACTCTTGACGGACTTCACTCCAGACTTCCGACTGAACGATATTCAGTCATCCTCCCACGAGGGCGTCATGTGGCACAAGGCCTTTTTAACGTGGGATCTCCGAGCCAGTGGGCTCGGCCAAAAATATGCCCATTGAACCCGTATAAACGGGTTCAGGGTCGGTTTACCTCCCCGAAAGAGACTCCGCCCTTCGGCGTAGCCTCGTTCGGGTTCCTCCCCGCCCGAAGGCAGAGAGTTCAACCGATCAGCCGGACGTCCGACTTCAGACTGAACTCTCTGCTTCCTCTTGAGGCGCAGTATTTATTACGTATGGAATAGTCCATTATGTTATTATGGGTAAGGTACCATAACAATTTGTTAGGAGTTTTTGACAAAGGCAGTTCTTTAAAATCCAGTGCGATTATTTCATAGGGTTGAGTGTCTTTCCTTGCTGGAGTTCGGACGGTAAAACCTAGGTTTATTTTCAGCGCAAGTCTTACACGAGTTGGTAATTTCTTTCACATCCTCTATTGGGAAGGGAAGGTTTTTGATTTTCGTCATGTGAACCATGCGTGTAATACCTGGGTGGCACAACTCTTTATGTCTTTTCTTTAACTCTTCTTTGCAAGCGGCCGAGCTACATACGCGAGGGATGGCCTTCACAGCTGCCTTTTCTTTACCGCGGCGGTACGTTACGTCGAACAAGTAACACGAGAGTTGCATCCTCCACCTGGCTATCTTATCATTTTTAATTTTACTGGTCGTTTACGGGTTAAACATGAAGGAGACTGATTTTTGGTCTGTAATTAGTCGCTCGATCATATAATGCCTCTATTTTCTCAGCAAATTCAATAATACCATAGGTTTCTTTCTCTTTTGCAGAATGCCGATGTTCCAATTTAGGGTTCTGGAAAAAAGAATATGGTCCTCCCCTGTTGTCTTAAAGAGGCGGCTATGGCGTATTCTGAGGCGTCTGTGTCTACTACCAGAGGTTTTTTTTATGATCAGACAGTAATGGCTGCGTTCGCTATACCCCTTTTTAGCTCGTCAAAAGCTTTCTCTGCTATGGAAGATAACGGGAATTTTGATACTGTTGGTAAAGGATGGATTTTGTCTGAAAAAGACGATACCTAATAGGCATAGTGTGCAAACATTCCTAATACACAGCGCAGAGCGGGTAAATCTTTTGGAAGTGGTAGGTTGAGTAATTGATTCAGACGTTCTGGATCGGGTTTTATGTTGTTTTTACTTATTATGTACGCAATTAATTTTATATTTTTACGTCTAGAATAACATTTGTCTTTGTTAATCGTTAGCTTGTAATTTTTAACAGCCTGCATGTTCCACTCGATTTTCCCGCAAATAGTTACATTATCGATGTAAGCAGATGTGCCTTGCAAGCTCTCTTTTAATATTATGTACTCTATCACTCGAAGACTAGCTACCACTTTAGCCAAACAGTATCCTATGAAATTGATAGAGTTTGCCACTGGCCTCGAAGGTCGTATAGGGTTTATCGCTGAGCCTTATAGCTACCTGATGCTAGGCACTTTTAAGGTCCAGATTGCTAAATAGACCGTTTTTGGCTATTTTCTCTATATCATTTATTCTTGACGGCGGGTAGGCATTCAATAAAGTAAACCGGTTTAATAAAATAATCTATCTTCTGTGTGTCGCCTAGATTTAGTAGTTACTGGTTTACAATCCGGTGTTAAATTGTTGATGAGAGCTGGGTACGGCAACCTCAGCTGTTAGACCGCAGATTTTAAAGGGTGGTTTAGAGACTCCAAAGGGTATTCCTACTAATGAATTTTGGCGCAAAAAATTGTCCTATCTTTCATTAGCAGACATCTTACTCCTTGTTATAGAGTAACCTTTACTCGTAGATCAACTAAATAGTATCCAAGTATTTGTATTAGAGAGAGATGAGTTCGCCATCGCCACTTTAGGTACAAGTAAATTTTCCACGAATTTAGATACGCAGTGCTTGCATTTTAAGGAAGTTTTCTGTGCTCATCGTGCCAATCAATGATTTTAGTGGCTGTTCGTTAGCCGTGATTTCTATCGTTGTAGTTGATAAGCGTCGCACTTAACGTCACTGAGACCTGTAAGCATATTGGAATGGCCAAGGACAAATTCCAAAAGCTGGGTAGAGTACTGCGAGAATATCTTTGGTAATAAAGAAAAGAATACTTACGTGACATCTGTCCTTCTTTATGGCAGCGAATGTTGGATGATTTCTTCAAAGATGAAGAAGAGACTCGAAGCGACGGAGATGTGGTTCTATAGAAGGATGCTAAGGATATCATGGACCGAGCGTGTGAGCAACGATGAGGTCTTGAAAACAAGGAGGAGGCTTATAGTTAGCATCAGGAAGAGGCAGCTGAAGTTTCTGGGACACATAATGAGGAAGGAGGGCCTAGAAAATCTGATACTCACGGGTCGAATAAAGGGAAAGAGAGACAAAGGAAAACAACACGTGACATACCTAGCGGGTTTAAGCAAGTGGATGACAGAACGTGGTCTGGGGGAGGTGGCAGAGGGAAGGAACTTGTTGAGAGCCGCAAGGGATAGAAGAGGTGGAGAGCCATGATCGCCTACGTCCTGAAAGGACATGGCACATAAAAAGAAAGTTGATAAGCAGCCAAGCGTATCCAATTATACCGGACAAGATACCGTTTCGCTCACCTTTTTCTTTCTTTTACAAACTTTAGCCCAATGTCCCTGTTTTTCATATCTATAGCATTTGTCCATTGTGTGTCTCTTGCCTCTGTAGAAAAAAAAATCATGTGGCGTTTAGTTTAGGCTGATATTTTCCGAGAGCCTAGTGTTTAACTTGCGAGTGAAAGGTTCCAATGCAAGAACACAAAGCAAGAGCGAAAGTGGACAACCTTGAGGAATGGAGCGAAAGTTTCCGATCTTACTCCTGTCAGCGCACCGGGGGACGAATACAGAAGTCGGATCCAGATGCAAAAGTACGGCTCGAAACCGGTGGAATGGACAGCCATAAGAAATCGATAGCCAACCTATCGAATTCCATGAACTGATCTAAATTGAACAGCGTAGCTTCATTGTCATCTTGCTCGATGATCAATTGTACCAAATGAAGGTTGTCCTGAATAGTCCTGCCCTTCACAGCACAAGTCTGCTAGGAGCCAATCAGACCAGAGAGAACAGTCTCTAAACAGCCAGTTAAGATCTTGGCTAAAATCATCAACTCTGTGTTTAACATCGTTAAAATCTGATAATTATCTATCCTATGGCGACCATTTTTTTTCTTGCAAAGCAACTTGATGACACTCCTGTTGAAGCGTAGAGGTATAGATGCTTGCTTCATCCAGTTGTTGTAAATGAGTACCAGCAAAGATACAAAGACGTAGCGACTGTTTCAACTACATTTCATAGAGTAGACTATCTAATCCCAAAGATTTGTCACGGCCAACCAGCTTCAGCGCTTCCCAGATCTCAGACTCTGTGAGAGGACCATCGTACCCAGTCGCTTCAGCCACCTCAAGGCAGAGAAAGTCGGCCAAATAGGCGCCGAACTGAGCATGGCCCAGACCGGACTCTTTGGTGAACAGATCATCAAAGTAGTCTTGAAAAGCCTCACATATGCCCATGATTGTTTTCACGGTTCCTCTCCGCCCGAAGGCAGACGGGCCAACAAGCAAAGTATTGGCAAACTCAGGGGTTTGATGAACTTGCTAATTACTCGATACCTCTCCAGAAGTCGGGATCTACCACAAGGCCGGTTTTTAACGTGGGCCTTTCCGAGCGCGTACGTTCGGTCAAAAATTCCCCGAGCACCCCGCATACACGGGGTCGGATAGTTGTCAACCTTCTCAGACGAGACTCTGCTTTTCGGCATAGACTCATCTGGATTCCTTTCCGCCCGAAGGCAGAGAGGTCACCAAGTAGTGTGTTCGCAAACCTGGAGGTTTGTCGAACTCTGCATAACAGCAGAATTCTCCTGAATACATGTGACCAGGACAGATCCATTAATGGATCATACGACACCCATCAATACTATTAAGGGTCATTATTAGAAAATGCTAGAAAACATGGCCTGACTACCGGTCTGCCTCGAATTGGACGTTCTCATTAAGAAAGTAAACGAACAGGTAGATCAACTTATCGGTGAGTAAAGGTCTAGCCATTCACAAGTCGAGTAGAATTTCAGAAGAATCTGCAGATATTTGGCAGAAACGTGAGTAAGGATACAGTTAGACACTAAACACCGTTCGTGTGCATTTGCGGAATCCTAAAAAATGGACCCCTATACTATGCACAGTCTCGAAAAGGCTACTTTATGCGTGAATTAGACACTACACACCGTTGGAGAGCATTTGCGGAATCCTAAAAAATAGACCCCTATACTAAAACCCAGCAAGTATAGGCTTATGCACAATCTCGATAAGGCTGCTTTATTCTGGGACAAAATGACATGGTCTGACGGGATTTCTGCTAAACTCTTTGGGGGAAACAGTTTCAGACACGCCCAACGAAAGGACACTTGATCAGACCCCACAAAATAACATGCCGATAGTTAAACACGGTATTTGGGATTGATTTTCCTCCAGTGGTACATATTCTTGTAAGAACATTGAATCACGATATGAATCAAGAAATACAAGAAAAGAAAACTCTTCCACTCGTGGAATTGTTTAATTCAGCGAGAGAGTGGATTTCTTAGCAAGAAAATAATCCTGAGCATAGTGCCGTGATCCAGACGAAGAATAATAAGGAGTTTAGAATTGCCAAGTTCATTGGATCATTAGAAGCTGTTATGCAATATCGGTCCTCCCATATGGCAGTGAGTATTGGACAATCTCCTCGCAGCTGAAGAAGAGACTGCAGAAATATCGCTCTACAGAAGGATACTGAGGATACCATGATCAGAACAGGAAAGAAACGAGGAAATTTTAAAGAAAATGAAAACAAAAAGGAAGATTATTCTTAGCCACATAAAGAGACAGTTGAAAGCTCTAGGTCACACAATGAGCAAAGAAGGCTTGGAGAATGTGACACTCACGAGACATTGACGGCAAGAGGAACAGCGGAAAGCAAATTGCAAACTACCTAACGAGCTTGTGTAAACGGATGTCAGAAGATGTATTGTGAAATGTGGTAAAAAGACAAACCATACGTAGAACTACAAATGATAGGAAGTTGTGGAGATCACGTGTCATTTTCTTTCTTTTTTCTGTCTTTTTTTCTTGTTCTATTTTCTTTTTCTTATCCTTTGTTTTCTTCATTTTCCTTTCTTCCTTTTGTTTCTTATATTTTGATCCCACCACGTGTCATTTTCTTTCTTTCTTTCTTTTTTTTTCTTTCTTTCTTTCTTTCTTTTTTTTTTTTCTTTCTTTCTTTATTTCGTGCTGCGGGTTTATTTTCTCTTTCCTATTCTTTTAGTCACTCATTCATTAATCTTTTCTTTTGTTTGTTTTTTTTTTGTTTCCTGCTGCTTGCTTTTTTGGGGGGGGTCACTAATTTAGTAATCTTTTCTTTCTTTCTTTTTTCTTTCTTTTTTTCTTTCTTTCATTCTTTCTTTCTTTCTTTCTTTCTTTCTTTCTTTTATTTTAGTTACAGGAAGCCCAACTTTCTTTCTTTCTTTCTTTCTTTTTTCTTTCTTTCTTTCCTTTTTCTTTCTTTCTTTCCTTTTTATTTATTTATTTATTTATTTATTTCTTTCTTTCTTTCTTTCTTTCTTATATTCCGGTTCCATCACGCGTCATTTTCGTACGTTTTGGTTCCACCTCATTTCACATTCTTTCTACTCTTTCTTTCTTTCTTTCTTTCTTTCTTTCTTTCTTTCTTTCTCAATTTCATTCTTTCTTTCTTACATGCTACTTTTTTCTTTGAGTCACTCATTAATTAATCTCTTCTTTCTTTCTTTCTTTCTTTCTTTCTTTCTTTCTTTCTTTCTTATATTTTTTTTCTGCATTTTTCTTTCTTTCTTATACTCTTTTTTGGTTTCTTTGCTTTTTATTTTTGAAAGTCTCGTTTTCATTCTTTTCTTTTTTTTTCTTTCTTTCTTTTTTCTTGCTTACTTTCTTTTACTCTTTTTCTTTCTTTCTTTCTTTTATTTTAGTTCCAGAAAGCCCCGTTTTCATTCTTTCTTTTTTTTCTTTTTCTTTTCTTTTTTTTTTCTTTCTTTCTTTCCTTTTTCTTTCTTTCTTTCTTTCTTTTCTTTCTTTCTTTCTTTCTTTCTTTCTTTTCTTTTTTTTCTTTTATTTCCGGTTTCATTTTCGTACGTTTTGTTCCAATCATTTCACATTCTTTCTTTTCTTTTCTTTCTTTCTTTTCTTTCTTTTCTTTTTTTATATTTTGTTTCTTTCTTTCTTTTTGCTTTTTTTCTTTCTTTTTTTTCTTTCCTTTTCTTTCTTTTTTTTTTTCTTTCCTTTTCTTTCTTTCTTTCTTTTCTTTCTTTCTTTCTTTCTTTCTTTCTTTTATTTTAGTTCATCGAAGCCTCTTTTCTTTTTCTCTTTTTCTTTTCTTTCTTTCTTTTTTCTATTTTTTCTTTCTTTCTTTTTCTTTTTTTCTTTCTCATTCCGGTTCCATCACGCATCCATTTTCTTTTTTTCTTCATGCTTCTTTTTTTTCTTTTGAGTCACTTTCTTTCATTTCTTTAATCTTTTCTTTCTTTTCTTTCTTTTCATTTATTAATCTTTCTTTCTTTTTCTTCTTCTTTATTTCTTCTTTATTTCTAATATTTTGGTTCCTCCATGAGTCACGTTATTTCTTGCTCTTTCTTTTACTCATTCTTTCTTTCTTTCTTTCTTTCTTTCTTTCTTCTCTTCTTTCTTTATTCTCTTCTCTTCTTTCTTTCTTTCTTTCTTTCTTTCTTATATTTTCGTTCAACCATTTGTCACTTTCTTTTCTCTTTCTCTTTCTCATCTTTTGTTTCCCCTCATCATTCATTCATTCATTCCTGTCTCTCTTTCTTTCTCACATCTTTCGCTACACATTGTAAGTAGTTTCCCCACTTCCTGCGAAATTATCTCTTCCCATTTCCAGATATCCATCCAAATACGCCCACCGCCCCTGCATTTGCCTTATTTCTACCCATTCCACCCATCCTGCCGAACCATACTTGACTCATCATTTATCGGAACTCCTTAAGTTCCTCCTTCAAGTAAAAACGACCAAGTGATGGTCGCTTTTCAGTCGGAACATTCCAACGAATGAAGAAGGCAGGAAAAACTTTTGGCGCGCGCGCGCACTCACACTCATATACACACACTCATACGCATACATACATACTCTCTATCTCTCTCTCTCTCTCTCTGACACACACATATATACACACTCATACTCACACTACGCTCACACATTAAAATAGGTTTGTATCCATCTTTTTCTTTCTTTGATGTTTTTCCTTTATTTATTTATTTATTTCTTAATCGGATTTTTCTTTTTAGTCTTTTTTGTCTATCCTGTGTCTTTCTTTCTTTATTTTCTTTCTTTCTTTCTTTCTTTCTGTCTATCTTTCTATCTATCATCTTCTCAAATCTGTCTATCTATCTATATGTTCATTCATCTCCATTATCTATCTATCTATCTATCTATCTATCTATCTATTTTAGCTTCTCCATTATCTATCTATCTATCTATCTATCTATCTATCTATCTATCTATCTATCTATCTATCTATCTATCTGTTTCAGATTCTCCATTATCTATCTATCTATCTATCTATCTATCTATCTATCTATCTATCTTTTTTCCTAGCGTTATTTTCTCTTTCTTTTTCTCCTTTTTTGCCCATTTTATTAATTTTTTGTTCATTTCTCGATTTCCTTCCTTCCTTCCTTCCTTCCTTCCTTCCTTCCTTCCTATCGATTTTTCTTTCTTTTTGTCCTTTATGTCCATATTGTTTTTTCTTTCTTTCTTTCTTTCTTTCTTTTTTTTATAGTTTTTTCATAAAATCTGAATCGCTTTCTTTCTTTTTTAACCTTTCTTTTAAGTTTTCTTTCTTTTTTAATTGACCATTGCAGTTCTTAATTTATTTCTCTTCCCTGTCCCATAATCTCTTCCTAGTTTACTTATCATCATCATCATCATCGTCATCAATCATTTTTTATTCCTATTCTTTATTGTCTTTTCCCTTTTAATATCATCCCCCCCGCCAGTTTTTCTTTCTTCATATTATACTCCACTTCCCTTTCCTTCATCATACTATTAGCCTTCCTTCAACATTAGAATTCAAGTCATCATCATTATATTCTTTTTCTTTTGTTTTTCCTTTCCCTTCTCCTTAACCTCATCTTCGTGCAGTAGATTTAATATGGCGTCTCGGTCAACACATCAAAGGAAGCCTGAGTGGGCTGGTCGCAATTTGTGAAATTTGCGAGCTTATTTATCTAAGCGAGTACAACGGGGGAGTTTCGTCTGTGGACTTAGAAAACTTACGACAAAGATGCTTGCCAATTTCTGGTTCATGGGAGAACTTTTCGCGACAAACTCTATCAAACGGTCTTTCCGTGCATCTAAACGTTACAAGAAATGACGGACTGAGTCTACAGTTATGTGTCACCGGATGACCAACAGTCAGCAGTGAAATTAGAAGTGGTTGGTCGGAAGACGCACATTTGATTGGGAGCGTTATATACTCTTAGGGTCATTGATTATATTGATGAGGTGGTAGATTTTTGGTCATTATGTATCATTGGATACCCGGGGAGTGATTGTTCTATATATGGACACGTCGTAAATAGACTGCTCCATACGTATTATATAGTTCCTGGGGAAATATTTTTTTGTATTCTTCTTCTTCTTCTTCTTCTTCTTCTTCTTCTTCTTCTTCTTCTTCTTCTTTCCTCCTCCTTCTTCTTCCCCTCCTCCTCCTTCTTTTCTTCTCCTCCTCCTCCTCCTCCTCCTTCTTCTTCTTCTTCTTCTTCTTCTTCTTCTTCTTCTTCTTCTTCTTCTTCTATGTGGAGTTTTCATTCAGTACGTTGTCGCACTTGGCTTTTTACAATTTCTTAATAAAGTATGCCTGTTTCCTATCTCTTCCAAACCCTGTTCCACCATACACTAACTCAAGCTCGACAAGTAGGTCATGTGATATTCTCGTTCTATCCCCCTTGCCTTCTGAGTATCAAATTTTCTAAGCCCTCTTTCCTCATTATGTGCCAAAGAAATTTCATCTGTCTCTTCCAGAGTATAAGTGTCTATTTATTTCCATTGTTTCTAGAACTTCCTCGTTGGTCACATGTTCGGACTATGGAATTCTCATCATATTTCTTTAGAACCACATAGCTGTTGGTTTAAGTTTCTTCTTCATCTGTGAGGAGATTGTCCAGGATTTACTACCATTAAGAGGACTGATATTCTATAACATTTCAGTACGCTTTTCTTTGTTTCTAGCGAAATGTTTATCTTTCTTCATACATTGTTTATTTTCTGGAAGGCATCTTTCGTTATCCCACTTCGCTTTCTGATTTTAGTGACGCACATTCAGTCTTCTGTTAAAACACATCCCAGATATTTAAATTGTTGTATTTGTCTGATTTTGGTATCTTCAATTAATAATTTGCATATTGGTCTCTGTTCCTTTTGTTAACATCTATGCATTCTGTCTTCTTGGAAATTATATTTTCTTCTCACTTTTCTGCAGTACCTCCCGAAGGAGTTCTTGTGGCTTCCTTTCTGTGTCTGCTACCAACACTGTATCCTCCGCATATCGATTAATGTTGTTAATATTGTGGCCGCTGGTAATCATCCTGAGATTATTAGCTCTCAGAATCGCCTGACTGTACCGGTTGAATAAGTTCTGGAGAAGCGCCAGGCGATCTTAGCAATATTCCCCGGAAATTTAGGAATAAACGAACAAAACCAAGGGTATAAACAAATGATACCGGGTATAACAACAAAATTGTCCAAATCGTGTAACAGCATGCAATAGTTGTCCACCCCATAAAATATTTAATATCTAATCATCATCCATCATCTTGCGGCCTCAGCCGAGATTAAACTCACTACACCTCTGTTGTGGTAGGATCCACCTAATTTGCATAGTGGAGTACCGACCATATAAATATGCTTGGTACCGGGAAGACGAGGAGAGGAAACAAGAGATTCAATCCAGAGACTCTGCCCGACTGCGACTAAGTCAACACATTCTCCAGGAACGGTCTTCCCAAGAATATACCAAAAGACTATATGTAAATATTGTGTACACTTTCTTGTTTCAATACATTTTGTTCTAAGTACATTTTGTGTTGCATTATTATTCCATGCATTAGTCAAGTTTCAACAACCTCTCCAGTATTCCCTATCCGTCATAGCTCCTAAAAGATCTTCCTTAGGGATCAATGTGTCTCGTTTTATCCTATCTGGAAAGGTTAACTTGCGTGATCGATTGTCAGATGATGGGTGGGTCCAGAGTACAAATAATGACACAAGTTCATCTGTGGCACGTGCACAATGCCCGGCGAACTGGACACGTCTTTTGCAAACTAAGGTTGATACTCTCGGCAAGTCTCCGTATATCATTTCTAGAGTTGGGCGGTTTCGCCATGAGAGATTAAGCACTCTTCTTAAAAGACGTGTATAACATCCATCTAAACGACGCTGTTGTTTTGCTGAAAACCACTAAACTAATTCAGTTTTCAGGTTTTCAGATTAGGCGATGGGCCATCTTGACACAATTTGTCGTAAGAATCATTGAAAACACCCTTTCAGCTGGAAAGAGAATAGGTTAAAATCGTTTTGTGTTATCCCCACTAAGTCTTTCCAACTGAGCAATGGTGAGAGGAAAAAAGATCATTTAAACCTTCAGTAATGATTCCAACATTCATACTCTGTCTTCCATCTTCAAAGTCCATTCAAGAACCATCGAGTAAACGGGGAATAAGTTTTAAAAAGAGGGAACAGTAGAGAGGAAAACTGGATCAGGAAATCACAACAGGAAGAGAGATCCTCGTTTCACCTTAGACCTCAATATATTCTTATTGTTCAAACTAGAGACCAATAGTGTTATAAAAAAAAAAGGAGAATTCCAGTAAGATATCTTTAATCATTTCTAAGATACAACGGTTCAAAGCTTCATACAACAATTAGACAATTTTGCTGTTACACCCGGTATATGTTTATTTATTTGACTTCTGTTGGAGCGAGCCCCTTGTGATTCGGATTGGCAAAACTTCGCTCGGCTGGGTAGTTTAAGAGTCAGATTTTGATAGTATTCGAGCGTAGTTACTTTGGAAACATGTTGCGGATGACAAATGCTGTGTTTTCTCGGCACTCAAAATGGTGGGAAAATGTCTTAAACAGTTGACCATTTATTTTCTTCACGCGACACGCTTGGTTTCTCTGTCTACTGTCTACTGCTTTCTGTCGTCTGTCTCTTCATCCACACTTAAGAAAGGCTCTCTGTTTTTTGATTGGTCGAAATTCTTTTATTTATTTTTTCGGCGTTCATTTCTTTCTTTTTTTATAGCGGAAGTTATTCGTGGAACCTTTTTGTATTTTGGTAGATTTCTAGTCACAATAACTAGACAGTGGACCAGAGAACTTCCGTTGCGACGCAATTGCTCAGTATTTTCTTCTTCTTTCTTTTTTATGTGAGAGGTTCCTTCTCATTAGGTGAGAGAGAAGTACAGAGAGGAAAGGGTAGAGAGAGACAGAGATATAGAATTTTAAGGAAATCAAATGCTTTCTTTTAATTTTAATTTTTTTAAATATTTTCTTTTTAATATTTTATTTTGACATTTGAGCTCACCACAAAGTCTCGAGAGAAGACAGATCCTTGTCTTACACACCTTTCTGCTTTGGTATATTTACTGAATTCATTTTCTATCCATGTGCTGGCGGCTTGCTAACTATATAGGTTCTGGATTATTCTAATATTCTTCCCAAATATGTCACGGTTAGCTCGCATTTCCAACGGGGGAAGTCTCATCATATGCGAGCTTGAAATCAAGAAATAGACAAATGAAGTTCTTGTAGTTTCCTTTCTAAATCTAGTGCCAACACTGGGTCATCATTGCCGCCGATAATTAATACTGGTAGGACTTCTAATTGTAGTTTTGGAATTCATTTTTTACTTTCCTCAAGTTGAGTTGCTAGTCAGAATCGAAAAATATTGTTTTTACAAAGAGGGTTCACTTGCATAATATCGACCAGTGTAAAATCGATCTCTAAAATTGTTAAACTGTTCTTTGTCTCTTAGCTGTCCTTTCCTATACCTCTTCTGCCATCTATGTGCACGAATTCGATTATTCGATGATTTACCACTACCTCTATTTTCTTTAATACTTTATAGACATTATACCAATGTTTCTCAACAACTGTGTCCCCGGAACAATAGAGTTCCGGAAGTGGTCACTGGGTCTTCCGCGAGAAACAGGCTAATCATTGTTTTATTAATTTTGTTTAATCTTATTTTCGTAATTTCACTATACACGTACGGCATATTGTTTTAAAAATAGTTGGTTGTTGTAATAAAGTCTTCAACATCTTTTATTATTTAAAAATATAATAATCATGGGGAATTATTTAGCGATGAGTATAAGGCGTCAGTGTGAAACCGTCTTCACTGGTCAGTGGACAGGACCTGTGGGTGGTGGATTCGTGTATCATTGAGTGACTCACTCGAGTACAGACCGTATACACAGTGCCCATATATTATATCTAGCACGTGAAGTACGATAAAAATATAGAAAAGACAGATTGTCGAGAAAATCTCCCCGCTCCCCACCACCACAAAAAAAAAAAATCCGTGACGGTGCAGGCCGTGGAAATAAGTAAAGGTATTTACCTTAAGTTGTGAAAAAAAAATCTACTTTCGCGACGTAGCTTCATCGTTAGATAACTTGCGTAATATAACACCACTTTAAACATCAGCATTGTCTTATATTCTGTAGTGACGTGGATGCACTGAAAAATCTACTCATTTTACTCATCTACTCAATGTTTTTCAACCGGTGTTCCCCGGAACCCTAGGCTTCAGTATTGCTGTTAAACCCACTTTAAACCGGAATCAAGACAAGAGGTCAATAGGGGTTCCGCGAGAAACAGTGATAAATCAGCTAATGATTTTTAAATTAATTTTTGCATAATTTTATTTTCATAATTTCACTATACACGTACGGCATATTGATTTAAAATCCTTGGTTATTATAAGAAAGTCTTCAACATTTTTTTATTATTTAAAATTATAATAAGCATAGGGAATTATTTAGCGATGTCAATATGGCGTCAGCGTGAAACCGACTTTCATTGATTGGTAGACAGAAAGTGTACGTGGGGAATTTGTGTATCATTGAGTGACTCACTCGAGGACAGGACGCTTCCACAGTGTCCATATATTGTGTTGACCACGGGAAGTACGATAAAAAATATAAAAGACATGCATATTACTAATGGTATGTAATACGTTTTATGTTGGGGTTTCCCGAGATATGAAAATTATTTCAAGTGTTCAACAAGGATAAAAAGTTTGAGAAAAGCTGCAGCCCTCAATATTTACGTGATGAGCAGAAATAGATTGACATTATTTTTAATCTCCTCCTCAAAAACCCTAATTATTTCATATTCAACCCGAAAAAAAATCTCATCAAATATTTCAGACCAAAAAGATAAATCAATATCTCTATTCACTATTTTATATCACATCTACAATTTAACATAATCTGAACCTACTTCTAAAACAATCTCCTTTATTTACCTTATCCCCTCACCCCCACACCAGGACGTAGGCGATCAGATGTCAGTTTATCTAGAAAGAAACAATGCAGTTATTAATAAGAAGAGCTGAAATTAATGCATACAAGATTTTACTGCATTAGGATTATTCCTTTATAGACATCCGATGAACATTTTAGAGCATTGAAAATGGGTTCTCGTAAAATGGAATCAAAAACAAATATTTTTCAGTATTAGATTTATTTCTCACCATAATCTTAATCAGAGTCAAGGTACTTCTGTAAGA